AGGGGTACTAGTACTGCAGATATCACAGCCTTCACCATTGGAATACCTCCACTGGATACAGAATTTAGAGAAAATATTAAGGCCAAAATTGAACCAGAAAGGGGTCTGGTAGTAATCCGAATAATGGTCCAAAATGGGTGCTAATGTTGAGCCGAGATGAATATTCCTTGGCAGCTGATATTGATCTAATATTGGGGTGCTACTGGGGATATCTCCATCTAGAGGCCTGGAAGAGGACTTCCACACTTCTCAAAAGCTTCTAAGTTCAATTTGGACACGTTGGATCCTTCCAATATTGGATAGGAGATGAATGAAATATTGGGAGTCAATATTTAGCCAATATTGACAATATTGGCTGAGATGTAATCGATATGCCCGATGTTAGTCCAGCATTGAGCCAATATCTGGTGTTAGTGAGGTGGGGCTTGATGTTGGTTCAACGAAGGGCCAAGGAACAACTCGAGAAGCCAGTGGCGACTATTGGACGAAAAATCTGGGGAGGCTACCACGTGATCTTCATATGAACAATAATTTATTGCAGTAATTATGAGAGCATGAAGCTCAGGCAGGGAGCAAGTGAAGCTCCGAGCGAGAGAAAGCGTTCCTTGTTGACGATTGGCATTTAAATTGCAAAATCAGAAGGGAAAACGAAATTCTGTGTTTCATTTGTATGATTTTGTAAAATACATCCACTGTCTATTTCATTCACGACAACAGCGGAGATAAAAACTGGAAATGCGAATTCGGATGCCTGAACAGCTTTCTACTAGACTCAAAAGAGCCTAAAGACTTACTAGTTCTTGCAAGGAGTCACCCGCTCATGCGCAAGGCAGACGGTGGGGCCGACCTCCCCGCTCTCCAATTCACCTGCATTGCTAGTGCTACCCCTATCAGGGACAAGTTAGAAGGAGGGGGGGGGGGGAACAAAGGGGGCTGTCGTCGCGGGCACGTCATGTCCAGGGAGCCGTGTGTTCACTTCGATGTGGTTGGCTCCCAGAGTCGCCATGACGTCGCGGCATCGCCTAGGCCGATTGGTGGCGTGGCGACGTCCTGTCACCGGATATCTCCTTATCGATTGCACCCCTTATTAAATAAGCCATTCCATATTGCAACATTTCACGCTCACCGGGAACATCTGTTTGGCGCAATTACTTGCATTGCCTTTATTATTCAAGTGATTGATATGATTATGACGTCCTAATGTGTTTGGGATTCGTACATGCCCTTACGGAACTTCCAAATACAGGCGTATGTATAGGATTGTACAGTTCTGAATTTAGCCATGTTTGGAAACAGTTCAGTCCGTATAATGTTTTGGCCATTCTTAATAAATATGGAATCATATATGGTTCATGTTCAGACCCCCATATATGGTGCTAGGTTTGCACTGTATATGACATTAATATAAGCTATACGGAAAAAATACCGTATTTAGAATATATTTGGAAACTGTTCAGTCCATGTAATATCCACGGATGCACACGCATGCACGTTGAGGCCTTCCACGTATGACCTGGCATCTAGCAGTTTGTTCAATGAATATAAAGTTCTCACAATATAAGCGAGGTCGCGCTAATCCCGCCGCTAT